AAAGTTGATAAAATAAATTAAAAATTTTGTATTGTTCGATACATATGCGTACCGAACCAAAAGGACTGTATCGAACGTTCAATATCGATACGAGTATTGTTGCACCCCTAATATATATATATATATATATATATGTGTGTGTGTGTGTGTGTTATATATGAATAACATCAAGCCAATAAAGTCTGAAGCTCTTCACACTGAATGATTTCTGTCCTCTTTAGTCTGTCTAGTTTTAAACTGTTACATTTCTGGCTGTGTAAATATCGTCTTTGCAGTTTTCAGAGTTTTGTCTCCTTTCAGATGAGATGGATCAGTCACTATCATGTCACCTGCATCTCTATGAGTCGCTGTAGTACAACAATTTATCATTACAGCTGCAGTTTTGTTTAGTGTGCTTGTGTTAAATGAAATGTAATAACGGTGTTTAGTGTTAACTGTGCTGCGTTAAAATAAATTGTTGACATAAGAAAGAACAGATGATTATCTTCCAGATAGATGTTGTATAGTTACTGCATGTATGAAATATTTTAATTATTTGTTCGTGTAGCAGTGATTCTAATGTGAAGTGTTGAGTGTGATACCTTTCCATGTTCATCAACACCTGCAGTCACCTGATAAAAGAGAAAAAGCTAAACACTATAGACATGGTTCCTAGTATATATTTTTTTCACCTTATGTCATTATTTCCGACACCCCTTGAACACACCGTGTTTCCATAGTCCAGTGAATGCAACATAAGCACGCTGCTGCATTAAGCTAGACAAAACGGAGCAAGACACTGAGAGCAAAACAGTAAGGCTTTCAATATAAAATAAGTGTTAAACTGTACTTTTAACAATCTCTGACTTAAAGTTATGTACTGTTCAGAGCATTTTATGTGTTTTGCTCTCAACCAACCCGATGCAGTGGATGTTTGTTTCTTGGAAACTCCGGTGAGTTACTAAAATTGATAAGTTAGCAGGAAAACTTATGCTCATTTTACACGTGGTAACTGCTGCAACAGTGTGAACTCTGTATTGTTTAAAAAAAAAACTAAAACCAGGTTGAGTACTTGAACTGTGTGTGAAATGGAGTGTTATATTTTTACTTCATTGTCTATTTGACTAAGCACTTTAACAAATACACCAAAATAATGCAAGATGCGCTTTTCCTTTAGTTGTACAAATTATTCAGTGCCTTTTGTGCACTTTTATGCTAGCCAGACCCTGTGAAAACTCTTGGCGAATCCAAAAGCAGTATGGGCAGCTGTTCTGGATGCAGGAGTAGATCTAGACTGAATTACTTCAAATTGCAGGATTTCAGGTAAGCCAGAGTAAAACCACTTACTTCCATACGGATTGTTCTCATACGGAGAAACTATTGAACTCACAATATCCTGTTTATCAGGAGTCAGGTCTAAAGAGATTTCTCATTTTATTGTACAGGGGAACCCCGGCTTATGAAGACCCCATTTAACGAAAAATTCAAGTTACGAAGGCACTTAATGGCAATGTTTCTGCCCATGGTACGGCAAAATACCTGCGTAATGAGATAGATAAAACAGAAAATTTTAAAAAATTACATTAAATTCCTTAATGTTATGTACATGTACACATACATATGTATGCATGCATACGTATGCTTTCTTCAATCTCTGCCACCTCCTCCTCCAACAAGAACTTCGTCTTCAGCCAGCATCGCCTCACTCAAAAGGTGATGGAAAAAGGTGCATCGACTTACGAAAAGTTTGAATTACAAATGACCTGTTCCTGTTTTCTGTTGTTTTTCTTTTATGGCTGACACTTCCACTAAAGGCTTGAAGAGTTTGATACTATATTTAAAACATTTTTATTTTATTCATTTATTATTCATTATTTCACTTTGATCTCCTTATCTCCTTTTCTGTTAAATGTTTAACTAACCAGAGAGAAACTGTTGACTGTGTGTAACCACAGCAGGATTTAAAGAAACATCTTGAAATAGTAAATTAATGAAAAAGTTGTCATACC